GCATCCTAACCGTACCCGTATCCCTTTTTTTTAGGTTTTATCTCACCGTATCCTTATCGTGTCGTATCCGTATCCGTGTTTCATAGTGATCCACGAATGCCAAATTTATTGAACCCTTTTCATCAAACATGCAGTAAAAGTTTGGCAGGCACAAATTCAAGTGGCCCAAGGTTCTCATGTACATTTCTTAAATACAGAAGTTAAAGCTTTGGCTTAGACAGGAACAGTGACTTTAGTAGTGTAATTGGCCATGGTTAATTCAATTTACATACTACTGTCGCAATATTTCCCCCATTTTTAAGGTGGGAGGAGTTAGAGACCCAAAAAAAAAAAAAATTGCTTAAACACGAAGCTCAAATATAAATCTGGGGCAAAAAGTTAGCATATGAGCACTGAAAATTCTGGAATGAATCAACCCAAATGTGCAGAGAAATATGAGATAGATTGAAGCTAAGGTTAGGCATGTGCCCAATCTACCCTCCTATACCCCCATTAATGGCAACTAAACTGCATGCCAATTTTTTCATTGAAGATAATCATTTATTATCACAGCTCTATGATTAAAAAGTAACACACACACACTCTCACACAGAGCAAAATCAGATCAGCGCAGAATTACCACATCAGTCCAACCGCCGTATAAGGCAATCTTGAATATAATTGCCACATTTTTCAAACTGATGCTGTTATTTGCTGACCAATTTTTCGTTCGGAATCACTATTGCTCGAAATTATAATTATTACACATAACTTACATTAAATTTCAACACATATTGAACAGCCTCCAATCATTCAAGTAATTGAACATGCTTGACCACAGTAACTATTAACGAACCAATTAAAGAAATAAGAAGCAAAATTGCACAAACTTTGGTAAAAAGATATTGTGTTTTGAATCGAAAGGAATACATTTGATCATGCATAGCAATGTATCAAATGAAATGTGTACATTAACTTCACTAGTTTAGGTTCTTTTTCATATTCTTGTTAGATCGTCATAGTAAAAATGTCCTTCCAGAATGATAACAGACCTATATTCCAATGTTAATGCTTTACAAGCATGTATTCAGCAGTCTGTAAATTTTAATCAAAAGGAAGTTGGAATCCAAGTAGTGTATGATGTACCCTCCTGCTAAAGCACAGAAGCAACAGCATGTCTCTTTTACTGCATGCATTATTTTGCAGACCAAATGACAGGAGCATAAGGCTCCATCTGTTTTCCACTCAAGAAACAACTTTGGGGTAAGATGTACCTCTAATAGTCACTGATTGAACCTAGGAAGCACGGAAATGGACACGAGAATACGACAAAGTTCAAAAATATAGGGTAAAGATACTGCAAGGATACTACTATTAAAATAATCTAATATATTTTTTAAATAATAATAGAGTTGTAATATATTAAAAATAAAGCATATATTATAACAATATTAATAATAGGACCTAGTAAATATTATTTTTTTAATTAAAATAGAAATATATCAAAATAAATATTCATCATTTTCATCAAACATCATTATATCCATTAACATTCATAGTATATAAGTTATATAACAAAAATTATATTAAAAAAATAGAAATAACACTCCTTTTAATGCTCAACAATTGTTTTTTTTTTAAAAAAATTTGTTGTCATATCCTAATTATGTCCTAGACTTATCCCGGTTGTATCTTAAACATATCTTGACTGTGTTCGACTAGGTTCATTATTCCGGACACTTATAGTCGTATTGGACACGTGTTTGATACTATCACGACACCCCTCCAAGAAGTATCCGTGCTTCATAGGTTTGGAAATATAAAATATTTGGAGCCGTTAAACAACCATCTACTCTAAAAGCTTAAAGTTTTTAGAGAGGATATAACTTAAATATTTATCCTACAACACGCCCCCTCTTGTGCAGGGTTATATTTTGGGTCTAATAATTAGCAAATCTTTTAATCATTGGGGTGACGGGGAGATTAAAACACAGGACTTCCTCCTCTAATGCCATGTTAAACAACCATCTACTCTAAAAACAAGTATTTATACTTCTACAAGAAAGATATGCTTATATGATCTCAAGGTGCTTAAAATCAAATATTTTAGGATTTTTGCACCACTACAGATTTTCACAGGTTCCAATATAGCATCCACAAGAGGAAATACCACCCCACCCCAACTACAGCACACACAAGCACAAGACCAAATACACTCACCAAAAAAAAAAGGAGAAAAGAAAAATCTCAACAAAACCTTACATAGATGGCAGGGGATCAATTGGAATCATTTAAATTAATAAGATGCCTCCCAATTAAATCAAGGAAAAATTAAAATTCAAGAAAAGATTAAATTTTTTAAGGTTGGTCTTATTCAACTCAGCAAAGTCTTCTCCCAGCTTTGTCCAGTTAGCTATAACATGAATGTTGTTTTGCCATTGTGCAATGTCCATGGCAATAATACTCTAAACTTTTATTTAAGGAAACAAAAGTCAGTATATTTATTGAGCGAAATCAATACCTTTACAGCTACCTGCTTTCATGTATATCTCCATACTTTACATGGATCAAAAGCATATGGAAGAGGAGAAGCAAGAAAATAGACATTGTACATCAAGACGGAAAGAAACAGAGATATCTGACCTTTTTCAAGAAGCACCGGATAGCTAGTTCCACCCTCATTAAAGCGCATGTCAACACCATTAATAAAAATAACCCCTGCATTTCAATGATCCACACAAGCAATTTTTCCTCCTCTGGTCTGCTTTGTCAGGCTGAACTATCCCATAATCATATGTCAACTCTTGCATAGGAGGAATGTGTCTGATTGCATAAAATGCAATATGGAGATATGATTCCATGTTATTTTCACGTAAAACTGGCTGCCAGAACACATTTGGAGAACAACTATGGTTCATAAAACGTGCTACATTCCCATTAGTTTTGGCACTTATAACAAGGGGAAAAGGGACTTTTGCACTTTCATTGGAATCACCACGCACACCTTCCAGAGGCTCATAGGTTCGGGTGGCATCAAAAATATAATTATCCTCATTGTCGCTCCCAACCTTCTCTAGCACAGATGTATCAATGACTTCACCTGCATACTCACAAATAAAGCTTCCTCCACGGATGGGATCCCAAGACCTAAGTCCCCAACCTTTATCCTTCGTCTTAAACACCTCCAGGCGAACTTTCAGACCTGTTTGCGACACTCGATTCCGGCAGTTAGGAGGGCATGAACAGGAAGAACCACACTCATGCACCAAGGAATCATAACATATAAGAGCCCCAAGTGAACTATGGGGGAGAGAGCCTCCATTTTTCTGGATGCAAGGGCAGTTGGAGTCACCAGGTTGGCATCCACCTAGGCAAGTGCAGCTCAAAGAAGGTTTGGGTGAAGCAAATGGTTTTGAGTATTTGACATTAGGAACATATGTGAAATAAGCAGGCCCCTTTTCATCATCAACATCATTTACAAGTGAAACAGGGAGACATTCGGCTCCTGAAGTAAGGTCTGGCAGGATAACCCCATTCCTTGAAGTAACACCATCCTTCCATTGCTGGATTAATTTCCACATTGTAAATGCTTCCGGCTGGCCAGGTACTCTAACCAATTTGTATTTAAAAACATTGCAGCCAGACTTCCCTTTCTCCACCCATGACTCCTGGATTCTGTAGAGGCCGTCATATACATATACCTTCCCTGTTGAGTTCGCAGATTCCTTCAGACCTCGAATGACCCTTACCTCATTAGTCCGGTGCAGGCTCTTTTCCAATGCAAGATTACCCCTTTCTAGTTTCTGATCCATCACTTGTTTATCTCTCCTTTGAACTCCACCCTGGCCACTGTAAATTAACACATCACCATCCTCCCCGTCATCCTCATAGCCTCCAGAAGAAACAATACTGACCGCCAGAGGTTCTTCATCTATAGTGAGCTTGACACCCATGTAATCTATACCAGACATACTCGGAGAATGCAATCCAACCAAGCACATTTCCATCCTGAAAAAGAAAATATCCCCAACTTCAACCCCAGGGACAGATCCAACCCTCTTCTTGCTATTCGTCCGGATGCCTTTAGTCATCAAGATTGCCCCAGCCTTCAAATCTGGACGTCTTGTAGCCCCTGGAGTTGGCTCCTTCCCATCCTCATTTTGAGACATCCTTCTTCGGAACAAATCAAAAACCAAAAGTATGCGTCCAACTAACTCCTTGTCACCATCAGTTTGTTTAACCATATCCAATCCCGTGAGATTGAATTGTGTCACGAGACTATTAACTATTGAGTCAGTGTCAACATCAGGTGTTGGCCTCACATGTTGGTTATTCTTTATCTTCTTCCGGGATCTCTTTGGTCTGCCCCCATTGCTGGTATCTTCTACATCAGCATCATTCATGCTAAAGGGAGTATTCTGGGAGTCACTATAACCATCCTCGTCCACGACTAGACTTTCTTGTTGTGACTGAAAAGCTTCAGGTTTTTTCCTGGGCCTCCCCCTTGATCGCTGAGATGGGACTTGTGTCGTTGGTGTTCGGAATGAATTCAAGGGAACGGGGGCTGGTATTGTGTTATTAATACCATAATTACCTGCTTGACTGGGTATAGCGATTGGGGTTTGCGGGTTCTGTTCATTTGGCCTTTGAGACTCATTTGATACAAAAAAAGGGTAAAACGGTGCAACCCCAGGAGGAAAAGGACCAGTTGGAGGGACACACATAAATGGGGAAGCCTGTGGAGTTGAAAATGCAGGTGTACCAGGTGAAGATGGGAATATTGGAACAAGACATCGTAATGGCCTAACATTCAAAACCCTAGATTTATCAATATAGCCAGAAGTAGGAACAGACTCCGAACCCAAACCTTGCTCCATTAATGAAAGTTCCAGACAAAAGAATCACAACTCACAGCACAAGTTCCACAAAAGCCCAACTTTTTACTTCCTCCGACCACTCAATTTTCTTCTTCCACAACCAACCATCACAAACCAAAACTCTCTAGCCGCTATAACAATAATTCATCTAAGTTTGCAAACAATAAAAAATTCCACAACACAAATCATCACAAAACAAGCAAAAAAAATCACCTCAAATTGCAAAAGGGGCAACCTTAGACCACAATTACTGGTAGAAATTGTTTCCGGCAACATGCAAGCATAAATAGGGAAAATAGAAGTAAATTTCCTGCAACATGGAAGCAGAAATTTGGTAAGGAATATAAGTAAAACAACTACGAACCTGACCTTCCAACCAGATTGTAAAGAACAGAGCAAAGAAACCCTAAAACTACTTAAAACCCCAGAAACCCAGTAACATAGAGCAAGAAATGAGGTCTAACACACATATATAGACATAAAAACAAAAGAGTAGAAGACCCAACACAGGATTAACAATGAACATGACTATATGATTAGTAGAATTTGAAAAATCTTTGAAAAACTAAGCAGAGCATTTATGGTTTATGTCTGAAGTGAAGAATCAAAAATCGAATAATATGTTTTCCATCTGACGAGGATCAACAATTCCACCCAAGAGAGGAAGCAGATCTTAAAATGAAAACATACCTTTCGAGTTTCACACAGAGAGACACACGAAGAGAGCGAGAGGGTTGAGCACAAAATGAGTTTAATGCTGGAATCCTCTGCGACTGCATTTAATACAGTTCCTACAATATTTATGATCAGTGGCTGTCAAGCCCGTATTATGTAGAAAAGGAACCGCCTCGTGTCTGATTGCGGATCGACATCAAGACACGTGGCAAAAAGTAGGTCTGATTAACGGTCAGAAAATAAAAGAAATGGCTACAAGTATTATTTAATGTTGTCAAAATTCCATGGATATATTTTAGTTGCGGGTGTATCTGATTTTATCCCACAGTTGGTAACATTTACTTTTGTCAGGGGAACATGAAAGTACTCAAGTTTTTCTGAAATTTTTTTAGGCGTAAGGAAAATGTGCAACTAAAGGAGAGAATCCACTAGGTTAATTGGTTTAAAGTACGGCATCAAAAAAAACGTTAGAGTAACAATTAGAGTTCTTCGAATTTTATTTTTGATTTTAATTTAGTTTTTAAATTTTTAATTATTTTAATTCAGTCTTTAATTATTAATTTTGTCTTAATTAAATTTCTTCATCAATTTGTAGCATTAAATCAATTAAAGACTAACTCAATCTGATTCACTTTAACATTGATTTAATGGTAAAAATTGGTCAAATGACTTAATTTAAACAAAATTGATAGTTAAAAGACTACATTAGGATATTTGAAAATTTAAGAACTAAATTAAAATTGAAGGCAAAATTCATGGACCAACTATGATATTTACTCTTATTTTTAGGTATTTTAATCTTTTTTAAAATTTAATTGACATACACAAAATTTATTTTATGTTTATTATTTTCATATTAAAAAACAACCAACAATTTAAACTAAAATTTACTGTTAGGAATTATTTTTTGACATAACAAGGAAAAATTAAATTTTCTTATGACAGTCTTTGTGAGACTCGTACACACATTTCATGATATTTTGTTAAAAGTTAGAAGTTAATGCATAATTTATAATAATTTATGATATTAATCTGGGGGTTAAATCGTAGTTACAAAAATTATGGAAGAAAAATTTTTTTTGAATTTTAATCCTAAGGGTTGAATTTTGTGAAAAAACTGGTATTTGGGTATAATATCGTATTAAGGGAAAAAATTCTGTGTGTGAATCTATAAATATTTAAAATTTAGTGGTGTGTGTGTGAGGGAATAAAGTCTTAGGGAATCCAAATGGGTTTTGGGGAAAAAGGTGAGTCATAAGGGACGGGTGTCTCTCATAGCTCACTCCTTTTATATATACCATTTTAATTTATAAGTTTAATTTTTATGTTGTGAAAAATTATTTCATGCAACTTTTGTATCTCTCTTATACATAACATCACACTAACAATTTTGATGAGTAATATATTCTCTCTTAAAAATAAAAACACTAAAACTATGTGTACACTTTTGTCGTAAAGATAGATAAACACGACACTTAATGCATTTTAAATTAAAAAATAGCCCACACAACAATAATATGAATTAACATTAAAATTGTTAGAATTAACTAAATAAAAAAAAAGGCAACCTTCCCATATTCCTTTCAATTTAACAGCATGTACGCCAATGACCCATAGAGGAAATATTTTCGTTCACATCAAAAACACTAAAACTGACATAGTAATGACTTTAGTCTCAATTAACCACCTTGGAGGAAGTTCTAAGCTTTAGGAGCCTAGGATGATGGAGTGGTGGTGATGAAGCTTGGGGCTAAGGTAGGCTTGGCGGCATCCGTGGAGGCACCCGTGTCTTGCTTGGGAGTGAGATCGAAGGTAGTTTAGTTGGTATAGAGCTTGGTTCATGCCGAAGATAACGTCAGTATCTAATGGTCACAAAGAAATCCATTGATAGGTCATAACCAAAACCTGGGCATAATTTACAAATAGATGAAGTACCTTGGGCCCTTGAAAAAATTAAATACAGATGGACTTAATAAATGATTCTAAAGGATGCATTCAAAATTTAGTAAAATAAAAGCCTAAAATTAAGAGGGAGAGAAGGGAGGGACACACCAGTCGAAAAATTTGATGGGATCTAATATTTGTTTCGTTGAGAGGTCTCCTCTATTTGTGCTTGAGCTTCAAGATAAAATCCGGAACATATGTCACACAACCATTTATTGGAGAATAACTTTTGAAGAATGCCCCAACTTCACTGATGGACAGGAGATCGTTGAAATGACTCCAATGCCTCAAGTTTCCTCTTTGATTGCAGACTTCAAAAGAAAAACAATATGCTGCTTGAGAAAAGGATACAACTATTTAAAAAAGCTTGAAAATAAAGAATGTGTAGAAGGAGAATTTAGTGCAGAAAAATTGAAACCAAAAATAGCATGTAATTACCCATTGCATGTACTATTTTATACCATACTAGAGATAACACGTGCCTGAAGGCACAGAACAACGTAAATTAACCGATTAATTTGAAAAAAAAAATTCTTAAATGTGATTTAATTAAAAAAATTGAAATTAATATAGTTTTCAAATATTTTTTGGGAATTATTTCGACAAAGCTTGCTCTATAAATAGGAGCTTAAGAAAATTTCAACCTATATACAAAAGTAAAAAACAAATAAAACAATCCCCTAAAATCAACAATCGATACCTTACAACCAAAATAACCAACAATTTCACATCAAGACAAACATATCCCCATAAACATAAAATTAGTTTACCATACTAAACACAAAATAATCAAAAACCCACGCAAAGTAAGTTGACATAGATTATTCTTTATATCATTTAATTAAAGAAAATTGATATAGATCATTCTCTATATCATTTACTTAAAGAAAGTTGGTATAGATTTAATTAAACCTAATAATTACTTGATATTTTTTCAAAATTTTGACATAATTTCATTTATAAATAAGTGTCCATGAAAATATCAACCTATATACAGAACTGAAAAATAAAAGAAACATTTCAATAAGTTGGTAAAGATTATTCTTTATATCATTTAATTAAAGCCCAATGCCTGAAGATACGATGTAAAAAAGAAAAAAGTCAATTACAAAGCATACCAAATAGAAGAGCGCTAATAATATTGTGGAATATACATTTAAATACATAAGTACCTACTGTTTCAATATACAATTATCTGTTCTGCAAGACTACTATCACCAACATATTACATCTGGTCAAAACTGGTTTGTCCCCACTACAAATTCTCATACTCTCTGCTCATATTTCATTCCACCTAAGCATCACGCATATCCACTACCAAAAAATATTCCATTAAAAATTAAACAAATCAGTAGCTTTTAAGAGATTTTCTTGAAAAAAGTATTTAAAACCCCACCAAATTCTCCATAATTCTCTCAAATTAATTTAAAAAGATACTCCAAAGTAATCAAAATAATTCCCTTAAATACAAAATTGAAAAATGAAATATCAACTAACCTACCTAATAATCAGGCATATTAGAGCATGAAAAAAAAAATAGCAACTACCCACCTTCAAAAAAGCATGAAAAGATAAGCAATGCAGTATGAAAAATACCTCTAGCCATCCTCCTAAATAGCAAGAATTTTCGAACAAATCGGCATCTGCCCACAAAACCCCCTATAAAACAGCAAAATAGTTTATTAAAAGTGCATCAATTAGCAATAAAAATTATAATTAATTAATTGACTTTGGATTTTTTTAAAAAAAAATTGGTTCAATAATTATCCGTATAACAAATCAAAACATTTGAATGAATTGTATCATGAAATATGGAGGGCAACTACGACTTTGCCAAGTCCATGAAAATAATGCTCAACAGCTAATGATTAATTAGCCATAAAAATAATGGTATGAAAATAATGTTTTGTACCAAAAAAAAAACACCATACCACATTATATATCAGGACATCAAATGTCAACCCAATAAACAAATTAAAATTCTATTATCAGTGGCATACCTGAAATTAAATAAAGTATAAATTAAAACCCAATGAACATAACACAATGAATGTCATAATAGTTGTCAAAATCAAGCAAACACCTATCGTAGACGGGCCTAAATTCAACCCACTAAATGGGTATATAGTGAATTCATATCAATCAAACAAAAAATCAATGGTAGAGTATATAAAGAGAAGGGGGATACCTGTATTTGGACATCATCGGTGGTGGGTCACTGTCGGTTGAAAAGAAAGGTAGGAGAGAGAGACAGAAAAGAGATAAAATAAAGGGTCGTATGGGGGAGAGAGAAAACACATAGTGGATATAAAATAGTGGAGAGAGAGAAAGAAGGGTTGGTTGTTAGGTAGTGTGCCTGACAAAGGATATGGGAGATTCTTAATATAAATAAGTTCAAAATCCATCTATCAACTCCCAAGTACCCAATCAAAACATGTCTGAAAGGCATCTAAGTTCAAGCAAAGACACACACCCACACAAATACAAATTCTTTTTATTTATCAACATCAACCACAAATTCAAACAACTAATGTCAATGAATCCCATAAATTATTCTAAAAAACCAATACTCATCAATATGATCTCATTTCTCTAAAAAACCAAGACACCCACCCACGCAACTCTCTGCAATATGATCTCATTTCTTTGTCCAAATCAGTAATTAGGAAACCTATTACTCATCACCAGCAAAATTAACATAAAACAAATACCCACACCCATCAACTGTAGCAGCAATCTTTCTTGAATTTTTAGATGCAATGCAACCTTTGAAATGTAGTCAAGAGAGGTTGTGCTTTATATGAAAGATCTTAAAGACACTCAATTGTATTACTCCAAAGTCTCAATATAAACCAAGAAGACCAAGTAACTTCAAAAAGTAAAGACAAACACACACGCACATGCAAGTTTAACCATAAAGATCGTGTGGAAGGCCCTGAAAAACTTGAAGGCAGTCCACCTTCTAACCCAGACAGGAGTGTGGACCATTCAACCATCGTTTGAGGAAATTGAAACTTGAAAAACGAAACCAAACCATAACTCATTTTCAATTAGTCAAAAACAACGAAACATACCAAGAATTCTACAAAAATGTCCCCAGTAACAAAATAATACCTATAAAACTAATTGCCCATCAAACCATATTTCTAAAGAAGTTCAA